AAGGAATTACTGGTCATTGCGACACAGCAAACCATTGGACACAAATGTGACCTCTGCTCTTAACCCATCACCAAAGTGAACAGTGGGCAGTTTTAAGAGTTTGTGTGTGGGCAGAGTGTGAGGATGGTGGCTTGCTCAGGCAGCTGATGGACTCGAACATGAAGCTTTCCGGACCCAAGTCCGCTTCCTTAACCACTAAGCCACCACTGCCCAAGAACTGTAAACTGCCCAAGAACTGCTGGAGACAGAGAATGCTGTAATTGGAACAAAGAGTTTCTATACTTCAAAAATTAAAGAAAAAAGACAGACACGCAACATGTAAATTGATCATGTGTAACAACCTAGTAACTGCAGGTAGAAAATATTCTGGCCTGATGCAATCTTGCAAATTTAAATAGTGTTACACCGAGAGCTGACACACTTGTGTCAGTAACCAGAGTGAAGGCAGTTAGCCACTGTAAAATCTAAGTCGTAGTCTGGTGTCATTTAACACTTACAGATATGAGAAGAAACCACCTTTGACCAGCTTACTGGCCCATCACTTCAGGAACTATCTCTGTGTGCCATTATATTTATGAAGAATCACGTTTGGTAAATAAAAAAGCTGTGGTTGGTCTGCTCTGATGGCAGTAACTAATCAGGCTGAGTGAAGTGGTTCTAAGTGACTAATAAATCCAGATGAAAGTAAAAGGAGCTTGTATGACTAGCCAGTACATGAAGTGAGTGTGTGGGAATGTGTGTTTGTGTGTGTGTGTGTGTGTGTGTGAGTGTAAAGGACTTTTCACTGTGAACCATTAAAGATAGATATCCTACAATCATACTTGTGTTAGTTGTGAATATAATATCACTGCCTCCTGTTACTGATGGATGTTGTTTGAATGTTTGTTTGTGGGAAACGTCTGTCTGATCTCAAATCTAGACCAGTCTCTGAATTCAATTTGTACTCCCTGAATGACTGGGTTGAAAACTTTGAAGATCTAATTTACAAGTCTTTTATGTGTCACCTATGGGTGACTTGTATAAATACATGTTACTCTACATTTAAATGTCTTAAAACACACAATTGAACCAGTAGTCTTGTGCTGTACGGCAGGAGCACTATTCACTGTGTGGTTTATCAAGTTTACTCATTGTAGAGAATATTAACAACTAACTACTTCTTCTACTAATTTCCTCAAATGTATAGCTATCTCTAAGCTAACATTAAGCAATGTTTTCCCCAAACATTATTTGTCTGTCTTCAACAGCAAAGCTGACCAAGTTAGCCTGGTCTTTACAAGCTTTTTACTTTTCAAATCAGCTTTTCTTGGTACTTTGCTCCACACAAAACAACCATGTTTGGATTTGAACCTGTAATCATTTGATAGTGTGCCCTCACATATTGTTACATGAACACATGTAACGATACCTTTAATCTTTAGACACCTAGAGGAAATTGTGGTAGCATTTACAATGGCCTTCTTGGATTTGGTCAGCATTTATCATATTACCTATGACATGTAGTGGATCCTTTAGAAAGTACTTTTTTTAAGATAAGTATGTTTAAAAGAGATTATAATGTGTCACATGGAAATTAATTTAATTTACCTAAGCAAAAAAATACTTCAATCATTTTTGCTAAGCCTCTGTTCTTCATGTAAAGCTGGAATTGTATCTTTGCAAACTTTGCTGACTTGATAATCTTATTTACTTTTGAATTTAAAGCTCCAGAGTATGATTCCCCCCGGTCCCCCGCCCATCCCCCCGGGAAATTCTGAGTAATAACCAAAACACTGCTGGGCATTTACCTGACAGTTGATCTCCAACCACCATCATCTGTTTGTAGACACTGGTTCTACTTTGCCTCCATTTCCCCCATCAGTCTTAAGTTAAATTAATTACTTGAAGTACATGGAGTACAAAAGTTGCGAAATCATTACTGAGGCAGGTGAGTGAGCGAAGCAGCAAGAATGGGAGCATGGTAAAAGGAGAGAGAGAAAGATGTGTACTACAGTACATATGCTGAGGTTCCAGAGCCTGTCTAATATATTTAATGAATGTGTTTGACATAATTAGTCTTTCTGATCGGTCATGAATGCACAAACAAAATGTACAGGGTGAGGAAGAACGTACCGTGTGCACTGATAGGGAGCATTGACGTGCAGTGAGGTTTAATGACTGACAGTGCTGAGCCCCATAGGCACAATCGGTGACAGCTGCACGTCGCTGCAAGACTATATAATGTATAGTAAGACACTAAGTAAAGACATTAGTCTCATATAACAGGTCATATCTAATGAAAATATTTTTTTGAAAGGCCTAGTATTCATAATTATGTTTCCTTTTATTTTGAAAAGTATCCAAACACACCTTGGTACTGGTACCAATACCAAATGTTGGTATCATGTAAACGTTACAACAATACAAAGTCCAATTTCAAAATCAAAAAAAGTGTAATTTGGCCAGTAGCATTTTGACAGTTTTAATGGACAAAGTTCAGAAAACAGCTGCAACCAGGCTGCTACAGGACGAAACTCTAAACTGAAGGATTTACATAAGTGACACAATCTTTGAATGAAAGTCCTTTTTCAAGTAAAGGGCAGAAACTCTTCAGGAAAATGTTGTAGAGCTGATGGGGCGTCGCCTGATTTTATGAACTGGGTGTTTTATGCCACTACATAAATTACAAACAGTTACTTGTCCAGAAGTTACTTGGTCAGTGCAGTCAACATTGAAAAATTGGTATAAAAAAAATAAATTATTCTGCCAAGAATTTTCATGATTCACGAGGTGTTGGATCTTAAAGACAACCAAGAAAACCATAATAATTTAAAAGTTGCAATGATTACTAAACTTTGGACTCCTCTTTGTCATGCATTTTTACAAGTGTACTGACTTTTCTAGCAGCCGTACTGAAAAGCTACAGTACACTATGAGGTTTAGTTTCACCCCTTCTGTCGTATTTACCCCCCTCACGCTCCCATGAGAACAAAGGGGAAAGAGAAACTGAACAGGGGGAAATTGCAGAGTCATCTGTCCTCCCACAGTTCTACAAAAAAACATCCCCCTGTGCACAGGCACATACGAAGTCTGCCATTAAATCAAGATCATTATTTTCATTTCAGCCAAAAACACGTGTGATTTTCATGTGAAAATTAACCACAATTCATCAGACGGTGATCTGTCGGGTAGAGTCATAGACGGGCGTGACTTTGGGTGAGGTCCATTTGCACTTTTATCGGCAGTCACTGGATTGAAAACCAGTAATATATAGAAAGTGGGAGAGCGAGCTCTGAGTCAAACAACCACAGCCAGCTCAGTTCAGTCTGGCAGTGAAACGGTTAAACTGCACTTTTGCTTTTCCTCTCTGCCTTCCTCACAGTTGTCTTGACATCACTGGTTTAGTCTGGTGCCCAGAAATGAGGCGGGGATTGTTATCAGTCAGTCAGATGGGTGTGATAGCAACCATAAGGTGATAGATTATGAAGAGAACATCTAATTGGTGTCAAGTTGTTCTTTGAAGGACAACAACTCCTTTGTTCTTTGTAGCTTGTGTGTCCGTCTCTTCTTATCTGATGGTGTGTTTGTCAGTCTTTATTCCTGTACACACACACACACACACACATTAGGCGTGCTTTGCTGAACATGTTTTTTCACCTGAGGCTGTTTTTTTTTTTCAGCTGACATTCTTGTAGTAGTACCGATGCACCGCTGTATTTATGTAAAATATTGCCCAGAGGCAGCACTGGACCATGTATTTCAACAGTTGCACAAAGGTGTTTGTGCAGCTTAATAATGAGACAGAGTCTTGACATGCACTCAGCTCTGACAGTGGTTGGGGCATTAAGTACTTTTAATTACGGGAATCTGGCCATACGATATGTATCACAATACAGGGCCAATGAGGCGTTATCTTGGGAGATTCTCCAATACTGCCTTTACCTGACAGTTGAAGAAGTTGCCTTAAAAAAAGGTTAGGTAGCTACTCATATAATATTCCAGCTAAAAGTTAGCTATGCTAAAATAGTTTCTAATTAAATAAAAAATAAATAGTAGACCATCGTCTAAACAAAGTGGAACTCCCTGACCAGACTCATGAGAAACAGTTAGGATAGTCAAACCGAACATGTCACTACAACAAGATATACATGTTAATCCAACCTAGCACTGTTTCCTAACCACTCATTCAGATTGACATCTTCATATTTTCATATTCATGTAAAAGGTTGTTATTGTTGTCAAATTTCATTCATCAGCAGCGTGGGAGTGAAAAAAAATCACATAATTGTAAGTAGGCTACAAGCAGTGCTTCACAGGAGCAGTGAGTGAGTCTGTGGTCCACCATGAGAGAGGCTTTCATTCATAAGACACTTAAAACACACTGCACTGCTAACCTCACTTCCTGTGCCATATGCAGCAGGAAGTTCTTGATTTCCTGTAGTGATGTGTAGGTGTGTGTGTGTGTTAGAGAAAGAGAGGTTGTATATAGTCCAAGTGCCAGAATCTCATTTACATATAAAGATCTATCAGCCAGATCAAACTTCTCTCAGAGACACAATAAACAAACACATCCGGTTTATTTTGGGGAATAATGGCTTCCCCTTAACGATTATTAGGTTCCCACAGATGCAGCAAGGTAATTAGCAAGTAGGAAATTGCAGCAGTGTGAAATGTCTTTTCTGTCACTAAGCACAATGACCCGTCTCGCAGTCAAAGAAGCGCACCTGATTTTGGTAAATCATCTACAGTTGTCTGCCGGTTATTGCCTCGAAACGACATTCACTGATGATGAGTCTTAAAGCTGAGAAATGATTATCTTATGCCAAACCCATTTAATCGGCTGTGACAGTATGGTATGCAGTTACTGTCTGCCAAAAATACACTACAAACATCACTTGGTGGTAATACCAAGGCATTGACACTTACTTACATACTTTCTTTCATTCTTGCTGTCTTTATTTGCTCTTTGTTATTCTGCCAGTCACCAGGAAAATGTTTAACCGTAAAAATGTATCCCTTAGGTGGCAGCACTGCAACCTAATGGATGCCATGCCTTTAACACCTAAAGAAGAGGGAAGTTGGAAGAAGGATGAGCTGAGATGAGTGAGTAAACTGACTACTATGTTAGTTCTAAGGCTCTGAAAAGAAAACAACTTTAGTGCTGTAGAATGTGATTTTTAGGTTGTCAGCTTTGATCTAAAGGACATTTCTGTCTTATTTCTTGATGTACTAATCAAACCCTAACAAAACAGTCCTTATTCATCCAGGTCAGATGTTAAAGTAAACTAACATGTTTTTGTTGATATGAACATGACTTTCACCTCAGATCCCTCAAAAAAAATCTATGCTGTTGTCGTGGAAACAGCCAGTGCCTATGAGAAAGTGAGTATATGTGTGTGAGAGAGAATTGTGTTCTTGGAATAGCTCCAGTGACGCAAACGTGCACCCCGATCAGCAGCTCACCGCCCTCTATCACCTCACTGCTCAGAACCATGACATCCATCCATCTGTCCTCCCATCTTTCCCACTTGTATTCTCATTTCCCCTTTGTGAGTGCACGGTGTTGTTTATTCTCATGTTATTTTTACTCTCCTGTAGGAGTGTATATTCAGGCTGTCCAGGAACGTTCACCCCTCCCCCTTGCTTTTCCTGGACTTAACAAGAAAACTTCAAATTTACATTGGCAAAGTATCAAATCCAATTCTTTTCCTTATGTCACATTTCATTGGCTTCAGTCGGATCTAAAATGTAAATGTGCTCAGTTTTGATAATTGTGACTGATTTTATTAGGATTTGATTTCTTTTTTGGGGAGAAACACATTACGCAGCATTGTCTGCCAAAACATGTTAGTTCCTGATATCAGTGTAAGCAGGTCTGCTTAAGAGGCTTGTGAGGTTTATTTTTATAGGCACTAAAATCTCGTGAGGCAGCGATGACTTCATAATGTCCCTGATTAATGATTCTAAAGAAGGAGGGAGGTGGCTGGAAAACTCTGCCAAAATTTCTTTTCTCTCCATTCCTTAAAGGCATCAACAACCTATATTCACCCAACCATGCTGTGATGTCAAGCAGCATAATTATATTTTTAGCATTTTATTTAAATTTTTATTTCAAATAAAAGGAATACAAGTTTGACGGACAAGAGAAATTAGAGGATTAGAGGAACATTTTTTTAAAGAAAAAAAAATCAGTAAACCTGCAGGCAGCAGTATCAGGTCTGACCCTGATCCAGGATGTTGCCCTGAACATGCCCACAATTATAGGAAATTCTCCAAAGTATGTAAAGAAATCAGCCCTGAGGACCACCGCGTCCACTCCAGCCACAGTCACCTTACTTCTCTGGTCACCTCCCTTACACTTCCCCCTCCGCTGAATACGACAGTCTCCTCTTCATAGCCTGCAATAAACACTGGACTTTGCACATTGATATAAACACCCTGTACTTACCTAACCCTGCTCTGTGTTCCTACTTTTGGGTCCAATCTTTGTGTCCTCTGATTGTGAGTTCATGACAGATGTAACGTAATCTTCAGGAGAAAATGTAAAAATGTCCGAAAAAATAACATTGCTAAATAAAGTTAATCTAAAAATAGTTTATTTTCTGTGGAGTTTTAAGCGATTATTTTGATCCCTACACATGACCAGTAAATTTGCTGTAGCTAAGATTAATAGTTTTCCAATAATGACATTTTTTTTACAAGCATGTCATCATGCCTGTAAAAAAACAAACCATAAAATTCCATTATGTCCAGGCCTATCAACAATAGTCAATTTGGGAGAACAAAATGGTTTTTGCCCCCCTCCCCCCCCCGGAAACATTTACTATATTGGTTCAAAAGCCCTGACAGTACCTGGCTACAGTTTTTTTGGCACCAACCTTGACAACGAAACACCTGGTTTATAACATTACAAAAGACCAAGTTAAACCTTCATGCTGATTAAATTTAACCTTAATACAGTATTAAAATACCTAATACTAAAAATATGGTATGGAGAGGAATGTTGGTATCTGGCTGATACTTTACTTATGATGTAAACCCAGTACTGTAACAATGACATTTGTTCCAGGATCTTAAATAAGACTTTAAGCTGTTATTATCTTAAGTAGATTAGTTCTGACATATAAAGAGAAGCTTCTCTTTTTATGAGTATGTATTCTTAATCTGTCATCAAAGAAGATTTTACTTTGAGGGTGACAGTAGTTCAGTGGGCAGAAAGTTTGCCTTCCACCCAGTGGGTCAGAGTGGGAATCCAGTTGTGTACTGGTGTCCTTCGACAATAAACTCCCAGCCACCCATAGTGGGTCCAAAAAAAGTCAAGTTATTGTTATATTCTAAAAAGAAAAAAAAGAAAAACCTCAGTTTCAAAGAGGTGGCAGTAGAGGACCAGCTGGTCTGACTCATGGGATCTGCTGTTAATCAGGCTGCCTGTTGAGAGGGAACACATTCAGCCGGTCGCTGCTTCACCTGGTCTGCAGCGTCTGACTCAGTCTGAGCAGCAGGACTGTTGAAAGAGAATCAGAAATTATTGACTCGTCCGCAACGCAGCCAATTAAACCGTCGGCGTGTTTGTGCGATAGGGAGGGAAAAACCAACGTTCTGTGACTCAGAACGCTGCCTGTGAACCACATGGAAAACCAGCATCATTCCAGGGTCTGAGTCTGTTTTTTGGGGGGTCTCTGTCTGGACTGGACAGGAGTAGTCGGAAAGATAAAAAGAGGGAAAAGAGAGAAGGAGGCTCGATTCCCACAATGATGCTGTTTTGCAATTTTAACTTTACAGTAAAAAAGTGTTTTCCTGGCAGTGATGTGGACGAGGAGGAAAAGTCAGCTGAGAAGTTAACTGGAAAGTTTGGCTGATGAGTGTGTAAATCATGATTATCTGTTTTTAATTTTCAGTTGTGTGTGTGGATCCGTTAAACCCAGCAAACTTTAAGAATAAATAAACTTAGAAAAAACACAACACACAGCCGGCTCCTTTTAAACACAGGGTGTGCTATCACAAGCTTTTTAAGACCCCAGACCACCCCTCAGATGGCTACTGTGATACAGGCTGTTTCTATTATTAAATTATTTTGGGCACTGTTTTGTGACACTCCTGTAATTTTTTTTAATAGTTTTATTCCTATATTTCATATTTGTATAGTCAGGGAAACTTGCTGCCAAGTCATGGATAAGTCATGGGAATTTGTTGTTCAACATGTGTATGAACCCTGTAAACCAAGGTGGACTGAGCAGAGCAGAGAGTGAGTCTTTCACACTCAGACTCGTGAAAGAATTGTTTTAGTGACGGCTGAACAAACAGCGGGAGGTGGGATGAAAGACGGACGTTTAGACTGTGAAGAGCAGCAGAGGTTACAGTCTCCACGTGTAGACGTTGAACTGCGACACGTCTGACTCTAAAAAGGAGTCAGAAACTGCTCCAGTGACTCACTGCTCCTTCTCCCAGCCTTACGGGAAGTGGAATGTGTTTTTAATTCCACGGCAAACCCCCACTCTTTTTGTTTGTCTGCCTGTGCAAATGTTGTGGTCTGTTTTCCAATAACCTATAGTTTATGGATGGCAGAACCCGATGATCTCATTGGAGTCTAAAGAAAGAGTGGCTCAGTAAAACCAATTAAC